AATTTTTCTCTCGAATGCTCCTAACGCCTTCTCATCACTGTTGGTAATTGTCCAAGCTTCTGCACCATACAGCGGGACAGGCATGATAAGGGATTTGTAGAACGTGATTTTTGTTTGTCGAGAGAGGGCATTATTTCTCAATTGCTTACTTAGCCCGAAATAACATTTGTTGTCAAGAGTAATTCTTCGTTGAATCTCTAGGCTGACGTCATTTTTGGTGTTTAAGCTGGTTCCTAAATAAACAAAGTCTTTCACAACTTCGAACTTATAATTGTCAACAGTGACGTAGGTCCCAAGACGCTCAGGAGATTTGTTTGTTGAGAGAAAGTACTTTGTTTTGTCCTCATTTACCACAAGACCCATGAAGTTAAATTAATAACTTAAATTTCAAATTGCTATACCTAAACAATCATCTTAAAAAACTCTGCTATAGAAAATGTGTTTTTTTTCAAGGTTCAAGTCTAGAAGGTCTATATTTCAAGCAATATATTATATTGAGTTATAATTTGTGTTTAAAGAGTACTTTTATATGTAATAGCGATATTTAACAAATGCCATATATAATAGTGTCATATTATACCATATAGTATTATATGGTGTTATGATAATACCATATAGTATTATCAAATCACGGCACCTGAAAGGTCTGAATTTTTTCATTGCATTAAATGAATTTTGTATTGAATTAATTTTAATATTTTCATCAATATACACCGAGAGAGTAAAGAAAATTATAACACTTACTTTCCAAAGACTTATCTACTACTGATTATTATCGATAAAAACGTTTTTAAAGTTGCAAATTAACAAAATAGAATTGGCATGAAAAGGAGTGTACAGTTAGTTATTAACAAAATAGAACTGCTTTGTAGAAACTATATATAGTTATTAATTATCATAACTTTTGTCAGTTTCTAACGGTTTATACTTTTTACAAATATATATTTATTTACATATGTAATGTGTTTACATTTACATTTGTTTTGAAATAGAAAGTTTCGAATGCATGTTGGATAAATATCTAATGAAGTCATTAAATTTATTTTTCGCTTTTAATGTTATATTCAGTAGTTAACTTGATTCTCAAAGCTCTTAATTTACATAATAACTCAACGTTGAGCAAACTAATATAGTAAACGTTGCAAGTTGTGCAGTAAAATGAAGTTAAAGAAATTGAAAGGATAATTGCGTTAGAGTTTGCAGAGCTTAGTGTCGGTGGAGTATTCCTAGAATTCAGCTTAAATTCAATTATGAACAGAAGTCGTGTTGAAATTCAACTTTAATTGTTTACTAATTAACTTTATTTTCTGTTTGCTTTGCTCTCTACTTTTACAGAAACTTCTGAAGACATTTCACCATATGCCACATTCCAATTATCGGAGACGGGGAACATGTCACAGCCGCACCACGCGGGACCAGCCAACACATTACTGCATTCCTTCATGTACCACGAACGTGCGCTAACTGAGGGTTGCTCTTCACCACCTCCCGCAGCGGTACTAAAAACCACCCATCACCACAATCAACGTCCACCAAAGACAAATCATAATCATTATCAGACCTCACCATTTCATAATATCGTGCGTTTGTTTGTTTGTTTGAATTTTCTTTTGTTTTGATTTTTTTCATAAAGCTTTAAATGCTCGAAATACACTGAAAAAAAAATTAAAGCAAAACAATTAAAATTTCATGCTAATTGGCTGCTTCTTATTATTGTTTAGTGTTTTTGTTAATATTATTTCCCTTTGGTTGTTCGTTGTAATTTTTTTTTGTATTTTTATTACACGTATTTTCAGCTCATTTGCAATATCCTTTGAAGTAATTAACACAAATTTTGTAAACTTTAATAATGTTTTTTCTTGTTTTTTAATAATTATAAAAATATTTTTTATTTTTTATTTTCTCTTTAATTGTATGAATTTTTTACATTTTCATTAAAAACGCCAGATATTAAACCGCACGTATTGAGTTGATTAATTTTAAGATAAACAAGATATCCTTTTTGGTAACTAAGTAGTGTGCCAATCGCACAGCGCATCGCCAGACGGTGATGTACCGTAGCTGGCATTCGCAAATTTATATGAATTCTTTCCTTTTTCTTTTTTTTTTATTTTTTGCATATCCTCATCCTTATCCTTGTATTGCATTGGTGTTATTTTAATTGTCTTATTTTGTTTTCTTCTTGTGCAATTAGTCATCAAAGAACCGTCGCCGTCATTCACGTAAAACAGAGCCAGAAAGTGAAGAATCTGAGTCTGATCAGGATCAATTGACATCAAGTCGTACCGAGTCCTCCAATCAGCATGAAGGCAAAATCAAGCACAGTAAGTGGTGTTTACTTTAATTGTTCGTTAACCTTTGAGTCACACGTGAGTAGTTGTTGTATTTCGGATTTTTAAGTTCTTTACTTTGTCGTGTTTTTGTTTTATTGGATTTAAGTTCATGTAGTTGAATGTAAATTGCAAAGAAGTGAACTCTAGTAATTGAAAATAAATCATAACAAACAAAAATAAAAATTAAATTGAATTATCTTAAAAGATACAATTTTTTTTTTTTTGAAACTTCCATAACTCGAACTTCTATAACACGAATTTTTTTAACTCGAACTAAATGAAGTGCAATAGGGTTAAGAGAGCAAATTGCATACAATTCTGCTTCCATGACTCGAACTTCAATAACACGAATTTTTTATAACTTGAACTAAATAGAGTCCAGAAGGGTTAAGAGAGTAAATTGCATACAATTCTGCTTCCATGACTCGAACTTCTATAACATGAATTTTCTATAACTGGAACTAAATGAAGTGCAATAGGGTTAAGAGAGTAAATTGTATACAATTACAAAAAAATTCTTTCACTCAAAATCTTCATAAGTCGAACCCTTTCTCTGCAAAATGATACTACGACTTATGGAAGTTTGACTGTACTTTGAAGAAGTCCAATGGAGAATATAATATAAATTAACTTAAATTTGTTTTAAGTTGAGTTAAATTGGAAGAAAACTATTAACCATTTTAATTTTGCAATAAAAAAACGAAGCGAAATTCACTCTACTTGGGCCCAGAGACTCATTAACGAAAGAGCCAACAAACTTCTTAGTACCAGTGCGTAGCTAAGGGTAAAATATGAGTCGTTGTTTCCAACCCTAATAATATATCCGAACTAATATTTTATATTAATAAGAAGACTCATTAAATAGTGGGTCTCTAATATCTCTCTCTTCTGTTCAAAAAGTATCCGGATTTGATTGTTGGTGAACTACTCCTTAAGTAATGGACCTTTTTCAAAAATTTTTTTTTGTTATATTGATACACCCTTGCTTGACATATGTATGTTACAAACTTGAGCGCCATCTGTCAATTAGTTTGTTTACAGCAGCTGTTAGTGTCAGACTACCTCAAGTACATTTAGCGATTTTTACTATGGAAAATTCTTGTTGTACGCAATTTTTTGACCAAACACAACACCACTGTCATCGCTCAGGCACCACATTCGCCAGATTTGGCGTAGTGCGACTTTTTCCTGTTCCCAAAGCTCAAATTGCCCCTTCGTGGTAAGCGTTTTAAGTCGATTGAATCGGTAAAAGAGAATTCGCTGAAGAAACTAAAAGCCATACCTTCACGGGCCTACGAAAAGTTATGGAAGATTGGGTTAAGCGTTGGCATAAGTGTATCGCGTCAAAAGGAGCATATTTTGAAGGAGATAAAATAAATTTGGAATAAAATTTAAATTTGTGTGTTTTATTTACAAAATCCGAGTACTTTTTGAGCAGAAGGTATTTCTGTGAGCTTATTTTCCAGCAACTCAGTTAGATGTATAAATGAATAATGTTGTTGTGAGTAATATATCAATCTTATCAATATCTATTTTAAATTCACTAATCTATTTATTTAATAATAAAAAATATATATAAATATATGTTTACCATATATATGAATATGTTTATGGATATGAATATATGCAAAAAAAAAAAACTGTTTTTAAGCTGGTGGAAGAAGATTTGTTTCTCCCTCGACTTTACCAATCCTTATATAAATATATGTTGGGGTAGCGATCCGTAATGTAAGATTGTTATATGTATTTATTGATAAAAATTACATCAAAATTTATAAATTATATAAAATAATACCATGGAGGCATTTAATCCAAGTACACCAATAAATGTTGCAAAAAAAAAATATTTATGAGTATTGAGTACACTTCTTTGCATTTTTAATAATTAAAGAAATTTTTTGTTTTATTTTTCGTGTTATTTAATCCTTAGATATATAGCAAAATAAAACTATAGAATATTTTTTCCAATAATTTCATGCATTACCCCTCAAAACCTTTGTGTAACTTTACTGTTGTTTCTTCTCAAAATTAAATAAATCAAAACTCTTAAAAAAATAAAATTTATATTTTCAATTTGTTTTTTCACAGACTCTAGAATTTTACAACATATTCAAAATCACAACATATCAATTACGTATCTGTAGTAAAACATAAAATATGAAAAGAATCTGACCAACCAGAAACAACAATAAAAGACTACCACACAAACTATACAAAACTACACTAAGCTTATTTGTACAGATAGTTTAAGATTTTTTATGTACATTTGAATTAGCAAAACTTCAGTTCTTTTTAGGACTTAATTTTATTATAAAATATAAAACACGTACACATCACTATATAATGTACGTGGACTCAGGCCAATATATATACATATATATTTGATATAAAAGATTATTAGAATAACAATATTAATTAAGTAAACATATGCAGTTAAGTTTAAAAATATAAGCAAAAATTCTTTGTCAATATAAAATCTTCCCAACCTGCAGGTATCATCTACCATGGAGCACAATCAAGCACATCCTCAGATCTTTCACCAATGTCCGAACAAAAATCATTGCCACGTCGCGGTCGTTCAAGGTATCATCATCAACAATATCAATTTTCTACAAATACCACACCCAGACATCATAACAGTAATAAAAACACTTCAAATTCTAATTCGAATAAAATATTATCACCACGCAGTGGCGGTAATCTAAAATCAATCTCAAGTACATTCAAATCACAAGACTCAATACAATGTCACATTCCCACATTGGTTAAATCACCATCTGTCACACAACAACAACAACAGCAACACAAACATCATCAACACATAAATACCAGTAGTTTAAATAGTAATAACAGTAGTAATAATGGTAATAGTAAAAATAAATTATCACAGCAACCCTTACTGATAACCCCAAAACTAGCACATCATCCACAGCATCACAACAATTTGCTTAACCCAAAAACCTTAGCACAAAAGCAGCCCGATTCAACAGAACTCCTCGATAGTAGTTGTAATAATCCAATTGCATCTGTTGCCCCAGTATCATGCATGCCATCATCACAATTTCGTCCCATACCACATAAAACTGTGCCCACTTCGGGCAATGAAATCACATCTACTATTTTGAACCCATCAACTGCACCTTTGTCCTCCAAGTTCTTCTCAGCAACAACGTTGCCTAAATAGGATACGGCCAACGGGGGGAGTATCGATGGGAGCATATTAAGTAGTTTCGGGTACGGTAGTGGGGAAATATCGTGCACCTACATGGATCCTATCGATCAAACATGAGACGAGGCTTTCGGGGAGATAGATAGAGTTTTTAGTTGAACAGATTGAGCAGATTTAAAAGGTTTACGGGTAATTTAAATTTATTCAAAAACACTCAACAGTTTCGTTAGGAATGATGAAAAATCATTATAAAAACTTTCTCATATTCGTACAATCAAAAGAAAAGAAAACACTTGAAAAATGATTGACTGCGTCAAACGTTCCAAATTTGCCGTTGCTGCACGTACAGAAAAAAAATTACTCAATTGAAAAATAAACAAAACAAAAAAATCTAAATTAGTAAGAAATACGTGCTACAAACTCTCTTACGCTTTAAACCAGGCCTGGAGTCTTGCGCACATTGCACCCACTTCAACTGCAGGCTGAATGCAATATTGTGCCCAGCAGCGGTTTTCATCAATTACCAATCGAGGCAGGCATACCTACAGAGCGTGTCGAATTAGCGGAAGTTGAGTGCGATGTCGACACGCTGAAGAAATTGAAATTGGGCATGAGATCAACATTATGGTCGCGGCCATCATCGACCACCTCCCAATTACAGCAGCAACAGCAACAACAACATCAGCAACAGCAACAACAACAACAGCAGCAGCAGCAACACCAACAAGTGAAACAACAGCACACACCGCAGCCACGTCCGCAACACAGTCCAGCACCGCCACAGAAATTACTATCCGAGAAATCCGATTACTCAATATCTGTGTGAGACACCTAAATGAGTTAATCGTTGCAGACGTAAGATTTGCTGGTCTGTGTTTTACTAGGAACGATGACTATAACTTATGTACTTCCTTAGAGATTTGTGGTATTTTTCTTAAAAGTGTGCTCATATTTAGTAGTCACTTGGAGAGTAAAGTCAAAGATTATTTAATGAGTGTATGGAAAATTCTAGTTGGGTTTATAAAACTATTAGCTTATATAAATGTTTAACGTGATTGTATGTAGTTGTTGTAAATATTTTCAATATTTATTAATATATATATATATTTATATATTGTATATGTAACCAATTTCCAACCCCGCTCACTAAGCTCCCTTGTATGGTAACACATGAATTTAAACTTTCGGACAATCAATCAAAATTTTTTAAACACGCACCCCTAACAAAACTCCCTGAATGAAACAAACCGTCATACGCACACAATACTTTTATATGTAATCCCATAATTAATACCATAAAATAAACTATATATATCCCATATAATAAAACTGTACCGCATGCATGTACTTTATATGTCCTTCATATATATTATATGTAATATGTATAATCAATTAGAGTGAATGCGTCCCCCTACGATTATATTATCTACGACATTTTAAATGTAAGAGTTGCGAATTTTTTGGAGGTTGTAAATTATAAAAATTATTTTAATTAAAACTTAATTAAAGTTACTAATTTAGAAAAACAATTAAGTAAACAAAAATCAAAACATATATTTGTTTTTTTGAATAGTTGATATGCTCAAAAATTTATGACATTAAAATTGATTCTAATTTATTAGTAGAAGGTTTATGTTAATGTTTATTGCAGTAAAAATCAAATGTAACGTATTAAAGTGATATCTAAGGAAGTTAAAGAACACAGAAAAAAAGTATTATTAATATCTACTCTTTTTACGACATCTCGAATATCGTCTGACTCCAATAGCACAAGCACAACTTATATTCTTTTAGGCTTGCTTACCATTAAACTCTCATCTGTTCAGTTTTAAACAAACTTGTTTAAGTGGCTATGAAACCAAACCATATTTCTAAAAGGGCAGAGCCTATTTCATCCTTTCCATAACAAACGTAGACACCTCAATGTATACATTTACATTGGCCACCTAAAACAGTGCATTAACTATAGTTTGCAGTACCTTTGACTGGTGGTGTAACATAATATATAATATCTTGACGAGTAGTGTTGTAGAATAACTTGAATATTGGAATTCCTTGCATTGACTTAGAATACTATATATACTATATGTATACTATATGTTCGTAAAGACTTTTTTATGGGTTTACAGAGACTAAACATGTTTCGGTTTACAACCAGTGATTCTTCTGTATGGAGTTCTCAGATTAATAAGTACGTTGTGTAGTAAGTGGACCAATGAGAGCTTTAAAAATTTAATGATTATAAAATTTATCTATCACTCCAGTCTAACCATTTATAATTTGCATTATTGTCAAACAGTTGTACTTCTGGATTAGAAAACAATCTAAATCAAATAATATAAGCCTACCGTTAGGGATTTCGGAAGAAACTTTGTTGTTGATTAAAGACATAAGCTTTAATCACTCTTGTTAATACGTGTGAGAGTAAAAAGCGAACTATAAATAATTATTCTAGCATTATGTATACCCTTATGTATTATATCTATATTATAATATATCCTAATATATTAATTTATTATATTATTCCACACAATTACTATTCATAAGCAAAACAGTTATGTTTGAACCCAATAAAAACTTCTCCCTAAGTAACTGGACTTAGTATAAATACTATCCAGAGCTTTGCCCATCTGCATAATTCTTGGATAAGTGAATACTAAAAACGTCCAAAACGTATTGCATATTCAACAATCGAGTCATACTCGAATTATTGGATTTTACTTATACACACTCTTACTATCTTTTTTAATTATTCGACACCAGAGTAATAATTTGTACTCTTCTCATATGATACTCATAAACATCGACACTCGACACCAAAATAATGCAAGTGAATTATGAATCTTTCATGAGTATTACGGCTGTCATTCATTTTCGATGAGTACATTCACCGATTCAATCTACTGGAATATGTGTTTATGACTCACGATTCATTTACCATTTATGCTACTCTACTTAGAAATGTGTACGCACTCTTCTGACTCTGATTCATTAGCACCCACACTCGTTAAGGAAAATACTTCTGAATCATTTCTGTGGCAAATCTGAATGCGTATAAGTGACGTTGTGAGAAAAAAATTTATATGCATTTATACTTGATTTTAATGAGTATACTGTGAGTTTTAAAATTATAACTCGTTGCAGTATTCAGATAAACACTGCATAAATACCACATGGGATTAAGAATATTTCTGAATATAAGGCTCTTCGTAGTCTTTAAGTAATATTCGCTTTAATAATTTTACATACTATATTATATTTATGTCCAAAATAACAGTTGAAGTAATTTTCGTAAGCTTTAAATGTCTATTTCATTTCTAAATAGTGATGGCTTAGTTGTGTTAATATTGGCTTCAATCTGACACATTTTCAATTAATGATGCAGTAGTGAAAATATAACTATTGTTATTTCTGTTACTGTCGGTAACAGTTCAGTCCACTATCCGAATAACTACGCTTGTTAGTAGATTTTAAAAGTGCAATAAAAACCTTACCTTGCTGATACCTAGCTACAAATACAATTCAAAGCGTGTTCCAAATTATGAATATAGACATCTACATTATTTAATACTTGCTAGATTTTTCTCCTCTTAAACATTGATCTTTTCAATACATTGGTTTTTTTTCCAACAGACAAATATTGTTAAGTGAAACTTCTATATTTAGTATAGTCTACTGGCATGATTTCGATTTCCCGTTGACTTCTATATTCAAAATTAATTTTCTTACTATATTTAGAAGGTTTCCGAATAGTATAAAAAGAAAAAAAGGACAAATACAAAAATTTACTTAATTTTATTGAAATTTGGCTGACCATACAACGCTGTTTCAAATATTGCGAAGTAGTTATCATCAGTGGTCTTAGGAAATAATCGAATTTTTAATTAGTTTATAGTCCGAACATAATTTGTTTGGACTGCAGGCTTAAAGCTCTGCCTGTCAAATTAGAAGCGATGACTAATCGTATTTATCCACAAATAGCCAAGGCTGCTACTTGTGGATTTTTCTAATATATTCAAAAAACTGAACCCAAATATCAAGAGCGTTATATTATATTGACATTTAATATAATGGAAAATATTGCTCCGTTTATTGAAAACGATCAGAACCTATTGTCAAGCCGCAGCACCAAGGTAATCAGTTGGTGATTTCTTCAACTGGTCATTGCAGTCATGATCATATTCAATATGCTTCATCATTCACCCGTACGTTTCTAATACTAACGCCATTTAAAAAAGCAAGTTGATATAGCTTACTTATATTTATATTTCCTCTTAAAGGAGCATATTCGGATTTGGATCGTTTATTTAACTGCGGTATCATCTTCTTATCTTACTAAATGTTCTAGTTAACTTTGTTGTTGAAACTTTATGCACTCAACTATGACAAATTTATGGTACAACTTATAAAGCTTAAAGTACCAACGAGTATTATAGACTATAAACGAACCAATATGCGTTAGATCATACCTGTGTTTAATAACATAAACTTCTCAAAATTATGAATTGTGCTAAGACGATAACACGGGTCTGTAGAGATTCGAGTAAGACGAGATCAGCTGAAAATCCTATAAAAGTAATGTGTATAATCTTACTGCAGTCAAAATAGATAAAGAGAACCAATTTTAATGTCAAATATTTTCTGGCATTTACTGTTCTGTACTGTTTTTTTATATATTAAAAAAAATGTATATAATTTAATACATATATATGTAATAAAAACTTGGTAGTTTAGTATTAAATATATTTATTTGTATATATTATATTATAAAATATAAAACTCTTTTTGTATGTACAACAGAACTTTTACAAAATGACTGAAGTTATTAGTAAATTTTTGTATAAAAAACAATCTGAAATATTGTTAACTACTTCAAAACACATACGGCAACACTACAGTATTCACTATTTACAGTAGATTGAGTAGTCTATGTTCAAAACATATTTTTAAATAAATTTGTGTACTATATAATATTATACTAACTAAATGAAAAGATATTGTAAATTAGTAGTAAATTGTTTATATATTATATTTTATTCGAATTTGTCGTAAATTAAAAATCAAAAAGTCAAATAAAAATATCAAACAGAAACTAAATTTTAAATGACAAAACATATTAGGTGTAAAATAAAAATAAAATATTAATCAATTACAGCAAGAAAAAAAATATTATTAAATAATTAAAAAAAAAACTTCCATTGTGTGTATTTGAATTAAAAATTTAACTTAGATATTACTAGATATTATTGAATTTCTATATAAATATAATTAAAATCAAAATAACTAATCAAAACAAAAACAAAAACAAAAAAAAAATAATAAATAAAAACTGAATTATATACAAATATATAATAATTGAAATTAAATTTGTACGATTATACAAAATACATTATTTTACAATAAATAAAATAAATGAAATATTATTTAATATTAAAATTAACGAAATTATATTTGAGTAAATAACAAAAAATAACCATTCAAAACTACAGAAAAAAAGAGATAAAAATTAAATACTTTTTTAGAAAAATTTTCGGAAACAATGTGCCAAAATTCAAAATTTATTATAAATAAATAATGCAAAAAAAAAACAAAAAAAAAAATTAAACAAAATTAAATTTTTTAAGAAATTTTTAAAAAAATCAAATTTTTAAATATATTTAATCAACAACAGCAGTATAAGTTACAAAATTTATTATAAAAACTAAGCCAAATTATATATATATTAGTAAATAAGAAGAAGAAGAAAAAAATAAATAAAATTTGTTTATTATACAAATTCAGCCAAAAAGAAGGTGTCAAATATGAAAATTGTCTTTTTATATATAATCAAAAATTACTAAAAGTTGTAATGTAGCAATTTATTAATAGCAAAAAATATAATTATTAAATAATTTTTATTTTTAAAATGCAAAATAAACATTTTAATGGGTTTCAAAATATTTTTGAATATTGTTTTAAGTGAGCAATGAATTGATATTTTATTAATTTTAAGAGTCATATATTTTTATTATTAAATGAGAAA